TTAAGGTATAGGCGAGTGAGGCGATCGCCTAAGTCCCCAATCCTAGAAAACCTCATATTTTTCATATATTAGTATATATAATATAACATAATATTGTTATCTATTTATTTTAGTTTTGACTTATAAATATACTTTGGAATATAAAATAATATATTTTCATGGATTTTTTTTCTTATAAAATTGAAAATACAAACTAATAATAAATATAATTCTCTTGAAAAAAAACTTTAATTAAATATAAAACCCATACTCAATCCGTCATATAAATTTCTCTATATTTAATTTTTAATTTTTTTGGAAAGGAAATGGGACTAAAGTCCATCAAACTAAAAAAAGATGATCAGATGAAAAAATTGACAAGATGGGGCATGGAGACCCCATTACATACGCAATCAATAGGGAAAAAGAGACTATTAGGAGACTCTCACAAATATGTAAACATACGGGAAGAAACACTGTTTGACTTGCAAGCCAATCTGCACAAGAATCGACTTCACGATAAATTTTTCTGATACTAACACTCCATTCTTGAAAAAAGAAGTTCTAAATATTTAAAACCATAGGCAAAAGAACTCTCATTTCTAATTTGATACTTCAAAAATGGTTACTTTTTCTTTTTATTTATGTTTAAAACCTTTTAAACTTCATTTAAAAAAAAAAAACATTAACATAGCCCTCCAAAACTCTCTCAAATTTTAGATACTCTGTATTATTTTTCCTTTTATTTATTTTTTTTCACCATTAAAATTTTTCAAATTCTCTTAAGAAAAATACTCTACCATAAATATATTCGGTAGGTTATACTAATTTTAACTTAATTTTATCGATCCAAATTGTTAGAATAGAAACCAGAGCTTCAAAGTTTATTGTTTTAAGTTTTTTCGTTCCATTTCTTTTACTTTTTTGAAAATGTATTTCATATTGTTCAATAGGTTCATATTTGAGATTTGTTTAGTTTTGCTTACTTGTTTCAATATAGAATATTAATATGTTAAAGATCACACATTGAAAAGAGGAGGGACCTTACAATGCTTTATAATAAACAGGGGCTACCTCCTCTCATTACCAATTGGTTTTGAGATGGAACCCCATGAATATTAATATAATACGTCTATATTTTCGCTGTGAGGAGGTTTCAAAATTGAGGGTTTCACCTGAGGTTGAATTTGGGGGAAAAATTTATAAGAATGATAGTTATAACTTTTCATCTCTAAAAAGGCATATTAATCTCTAAATGAAAAATGGTACTCAATCTTTTAACTCTATTAAAAATATCTTACTTTTGACAATTTCCTTTCAAACTCTCTTAAGCCTAATTTTTTAGGCACCCTACTCTCTCCAACTCTTACATTATTAGCTTTCTAATTTTACTCTTTGACAAATCTCGCTAAAAAATCTAAGTTAACTATTCTTKTGAGAGATACATTATTTGAGTGATTATATTTTTTTTAGTGAAACTTGTGTATCCATTTTTTGYGAGAGCTTATATTTCTTTGTAGGAATATTATTTTTCTTTTATATGAGATTTTGTATTAAGGTGCGGGAGAACTTTAGGATTGGGTTAGCGTTTGAGTCCAAAACAATCGTAGTGGTTTGATCTTAACTAGGAAAAAAAAAAGAAAAAAACCAGTAGAGATTAGATCATGAATTGGCAAATGGGATAATATATTTCTATCGGTGAGATATCACAAACCCTTTATTATATTAATAGAATTTTCTTTAGTTATTTTATTATAAAATAAAATTCATTGAATTTGTTCGCTACTTATGTAATAAATCTAAAAAAAAGGTTCGGCTAAACCGAGAAAAATTGAAACGAAGAATAGGGATCTTTGACAAACGGGATCAATACTAATTAATTATTTTATTATTTCGACACAAAAACAAGAAAATGAATTTTCCTAGTCCGAAGACTAGGAAGACAAATAATCCCTTCTAGAATTTTTTTTCCCTTTATTTTTTTCGCCCTTTACTCTCTTGAATATTTGAAAAGAGTGGTCAATCGACTTGGTTCTCACATGCAAGAAAGTCAACAGATCGAGTAGAGTACTCAAGAAAGAGTCTTGAGGGCCGGGTAGAGATTTTCATACCACCATAAAAACTTTGGTGGCATATCTCTTCCCTCCATTTTTATATTTTTGCGGCTTAATTTTTTTTAGTTAAATTGCATGCAGTTAGATTTAGCAGTAATCAATTAGTTTATGTAATTTTCAGTGTTAGATTGTCTAACAGGTGATTTGTGAATTTGAATTTAAGTTGCTTATTCAATTAGTTTAAATTGAATTAATTCTAAATTAAGCCGTGGAAAAAAAATTTAGTAAGCTGTATTAATCTTCCTAGGATTGTCATACGATCCTCAAAAATAATTATTTTATACGTTGCACTATTTTGTCGTCAATTGTTTAATAGTTTAGGATATGACTACAAATCTATATCAACTTACTTRCATTGAAGTTTATTAGGTTTCAAATATTAACCAATTAGATCATTAATAAAAAAAAAGTATTTATTACCTCGATTTGGGATGATCCTGTGAGAAAAAAAAAAAAGGTGATTATTTACTTAAAGTTCAAGAATCAAAATGAAGTTTATTTAAAAAAAAAAGAAAACCTTAAATGGAATTTAAACCAATTACTTACCAAACTTACTGCAGTTATCAAATTAGCAAAAATAGTTAAAGGAACTATGGGTCTAGTGAATTTTGTTTTACATTAATAAATAACCTTTGTTATGGAGAACAAAACCGACCCGAAACGGGACAAGGAGTTGAAGTCTGAGATCATTGATTGGGGAGACCGACCCATGACGTAACGGGCCGGCCCAAAGAACGACCTAATG